CTATGCCATTGTTCGAGCTCTCCAACATTGGAGTCATTATCTCCTAAATAAAGAGTTCATCCTTTTTTCGGATCATGAGGCTCTCAAGTATTTGAATTCCCAACAGAAGGTCAGTCGCAGACATGCTCGTTGGAGTGAACTCTTACAGTCTTATCCATTCTTTATCAAACATAAGGCTGGATCTCTGAACTCCGTAGCTGATGCCCTTAGTCGTCGCCATGTCATACTTACAACACTGCAAACCAAGGTTGTTGGATTTGACCTTGTCAAAGAGTTGTATCAGGATGATCCTGATTTTCGAGGAGTGTGGGAAGCAACTGTAAATCAACCTTTCCACTAGTTCTACAGACACGACGGGTTTTTATTTTGAGGTAAAACCCTCTGTATTCCACAGGGTTCCTTTAGAGAAGCCATAATTTGGGAAGCACATGACAGTGGATTAGCTGAACATTTTGGACGAGATAAAACAATTTACCTAATGAAGGAGAACTTTTACTGGCCTCGACTTGAATGGGATGTCAACAGGCATATATAAAGATGCAGAATTTGTCACTTGGCTAAATCCAAGGGTCAGAATACTGGACTATACATAACTCTGCCAATTCCAGAAGCCCCTTAGGAAGATATAATTATGGATTTTGTTCTGGGTTTACCACGGACTCAGAGGCAAAAAGATTCTGTCATGGTAGTTGTGGATTGTTTTTAAAAAATGACCCATTTCATTCCATGCCAAAAGACCAACGATGCTGTTCAAGTAGCAGACTTGTACTTTAAGGAGATTGTGCGTCTTCATGGCATTCCTAAAACTATCATTTCTGATCGTGATGTGAAGTTTCTTAGCCACTTTTAGCGGACGCTATGGAAGAAGATGGGAACTAAGCTCCAATTTAGTAGCGCTAGTCATCCCCAGATAGACGGTCAAACTGAAACTGTAAATAGGATTCTTGGTAATCTTCTTCGCAGTTTCGTGGGGAAGAATTTGAAGCAGTGGGATCTCATCCTTGCTCAAGTTGAATTTGCTTATAATAACTCTGTCAACCAAGCAACTGGGAAGTGTCCGTTTGAAGTTGTTTATGGCACTCATCCTCTTAGTCCAGTAGACTTGACCCCTTTACTTGATAAGCAGCAATATAGCTCTGATGCTGACCAAAGGGCTAAGGAAATTAAGAAGTTGCATGAGCAAGTCCGCGAGCGAATCTAAAAGCAGAATTTGAGATACAAGGCTCAACGTGACAAGCATCAAAGACAGCAAAACTTTAAGGTAGGAGACTTGGTTTGGATACATTTACGAAAGGAACGATTTTCTAAACAGCCAAACGCCAAGTTGTCTTCAAGAGCTGATGGTCCGTTCAAGATAGTGCAAAGGATCAACAACAACGCTTATAAGGTGAAATTACCTGGTTCTTATGGTATATCTGCCACCTTTAATGTTGTTGATCTATCCCCTCACATTGATGATAATGCCGAAGTTGACTCGAGGGTAAGTTCCGTCGAACACGGGAAAGATGAAACAGAAACCTGAACGTAAGGAAGATGAAACATAAGCCTGAACGTAAGGAAGCTTGAACGTAACTCCTCATTGATAACTTTAAATGCCATAATCCTCTGTAACAGCTGAATAAACCTGAACTCTCTCCTAGCTCTTCCACTCTCCATCGTCCTGTCATCTGCTTCACTCACTGGATTCATTACTTCACATGATCTCTGCTCCATCACTGACTGAGCCATTCTGGTGGAAGAGCATATGATATCTCCCTCTCCCTCTCTCTCTCCCCCCTCTCTCTCTTAGCGTCTCTCTCTCACCAAGTCAGCAGCTGGGATTCTCGAGAAGTTTATTCCATTCGTCTTCCATCTCCTTCAAATTCCATTCCTCTTCCTCCTCTTAATTTCCACATGGCTTTACATTTGCTTTTCATCTCTCTGCTTCCCCTGGCACTCACATCTTCGTGTCACTCCACTTCCAGCGATATCACTATCTTTCCTCCCTTCGGAATCATTCCTAATAATTACTCCCACAATGACTGGTTTCAAAACTTGTCTCTTTGACCAATTTACACCTAGAATTGTAGGAACACCAGCACTCGTGTCCCTGTAAACTCATCTCTCGGACCAGTTGAAAACAGTGCAGGGCCAGAGAAGCATCAAGCAGTAGTGTTGAGAGTAAATGTAGACTTTCACTGCGCTGTACAGATGCGCCACTTGCGGCGACAGCCTCTACATTCACTCCTTCCGACAGTTCTACTGAGAATCCGACATCTACAGCACCGTAGACTTCATCTTCAGAAATATTGTCGCCGTTTTCCAAGCTGCGACATCGTTTCGAGAAAGCCATTTCCTTACTAGTTCATTGCCATCACGACTCAATCCCGAGACTCGCCTGACAAGGACACCGAAATATCGACCCAAAATCGCTCCATCATAGCCTCCGAGGGATTCTGAGCGAGTTAAAGGATTTCAACAGTGTTCCCGCAGTGCTTGAATATCGTACCAATGGTGGTGACCTTGATATTAAGTCTCCTGGACATCAAACTCATCTCCCAGACCTTAGTGTACTAGTTATGGTTCTGGGATAGAGAGGGTGAAGCATGAGAGAGAGACATGGAGAGAGAGAGAGGGATAGAGAAGAGGGAAATATCATGCATATAAGGGTCCCACCACTCAAATTAACCGATGTTTAGTCCAAACTAGCAGTGAGGTCCAGACTATTATTAATATAATTGTTTAGAGTTTAAAATATATTAAAATGAGTTTAGAATTTAAATCATTTTTCAGTTTAATATTTAAGTTACCATTTTACCCTGTTATTTATATATTTTTGTTGTTCTTTATTCAAGGCCATGAGTACAAGCTCTATCTACCAAGTTATTTCATATAATTTTGTCTATGTCCATCTTAATTTATTTTATGCTACTACAGAACAAATGTAGTACACTTTCTTGTGTTCCAGATATAGTGGAGAAGAATTGAATAACATCAGCCAATTCCCGCTCTATTAGCCTCCGAAAAGTGTTAGGCCTCAATAGACGATGTATCAACACCAACTTCACGAAGAATGACAGTAGCTAGAGGAGGTGGATGTCTTAAAACCAGACCATTAGGCCCCATCTCCCTTGAAGCAATTGCAACCAGAAAATCGACAGCTGAATTCCTCGAGCGGGGAATGAGAGAAAAGGAGATCATTCTTCGATCCGTCAACATGTTGAACACATCTGCAAGAAGTCCATGACATTGCGAAGGATAGCAGTTGAAGGAGAATGAGTTCACAGCATTATGTAGGTCGCTGCAATCTGTCTCAATAATAGGATTCTCTAGTAGCCATTCCGTAGATAAAGAAATGGCCTTTCGAAGAGCTAGAAGTTCAGCATGAAAAGCGGAGTCCGCAATCAAACTCTCAGACCAGCCGCGAATAAATGTACCTGCTGAGTCTCGACATAAGATTCCGATTCTAGCTCATCCATTTCGACCACAAAATGCACCATCACAGTTCAAAATAACTAGTCTATCAGTTGGATTTATCCACATAGCGTTCCTTCTGGATTTCATAGATGATTGCGAGATTTCCAAGAGCGAATTAGTCTCCCAATATTCCTTTATAAGGTTATTTGTTAATTCAATAACTCGAGCTGGTGCCGGATCTTTGCATTCAAACATTTTTTGCACTTGGTTTTCCATATGAGCCAACAAAAGGCAGCCCCATAAGCCCTCATATTCTTTACATCCTCACACCCAGATAGAAACAACTTTTCCAGCCAAAGACCTAGAGTAAAGGCCTCACCAGTATTGCTACGCAAACCCAAAGGACACCCAAACCAAGTAAGCCTATTTGCATTGACGAAATAAGTGCTCGATGGTCTCCACCTCATCACCAGAAACAGGACAAAAGGGATGTGGGGCACATTTTCTTCTGCATAGAGCTTCTCGGATGGCCAAAGCATTGTTAAGTACTCTCCACATAAAGCTTCTGATTTTTGGCTGTATCTTCCACTTCCACACCTCTTTCCAGATTCGTATGTCTAGTGGTCTGGATGAGCTGGCTTGCAGGGTGATTTCTCTATCCACTGCATCTTTCCCTGCTGTCTTGTATCCCATCTGCACACTATAATCTCCATTTCTAGTTGCTACCAGATCTACTGCATCAGAATGGGGAATAGCCCGAAAAAAAGGGATAAAGTTGGGCTCTGCAGCATGGCTTATGGGTTGTAACTCCCACTGCCTGTTAGAAATAAGTTCTGCCACCACCATATCGTTATTGACAATAGCATTTTCCATTTTTGGCAACACAAACTTTGGAGCTCCCGGCACCCACGGATCCTTCCAGACATCTATATAGTGCCCCGTTCCCACTTGCCAGCATAGATTTTTTTCCCAAAAAGCACGCCCTGTTAGAATACTGTCCCACATCCACGATGCCCTCGGCCCTTTCTTTGCATGTAAAAAGTAGGAGGTTGGAAAATATTTACTTCTAAGTACTCTTACCCGCAAGCTATCTGGGTTCCGCAGGATTCTCCATGCAGTCTTTACTAGTAAAGCATCATTGAATGTCATGAAATCTTTGAATCCCATTCCACCTTGACACTTGGCTCTTTTGAGTGAATTCCATGATTTCTAGTGAATAGATCCTCCACTTGGAGAGTTGCTCCAGAAAAAGTTTGATACTAAGCTGTCCAGAGCTACAAATGCATTCTTGGGAAACTTAAAACATGACATGGGATATATGGAAATAGCACTGACAACAGATTTGACCATCACCTCTCTTCCAGCAAATGAAAGTAGTTTTTTCTTCCATTCTTGGACCTTCTTGGCTACTTTCTTCTGGACATAAGCTAAAGCAACAGTCTTTGATCTTTCCCACAAGACAAGGAGCCCCAAGTATTTACCCGGGTCATTTGCTTCGCCAATATTCAATAAAGCACCAACATTCTCCCTTACTGCATCTGGTGTGTTGGCTGAAAAAAGAAATTTGACTTATCAAAGTTTAAGCATTGTCCCGAGGCCCCACAATAGTCCTGTAGGATCTTTTTAGTTAAGAAAGGATAAAGATAGAAAATGTAAGAATCAGTGCACAGAGCCCTAGAATATTTATTCATTATATGACTGAAGTTACAGCCCTTAGGGAAACGTGTAAACTATTAAAATAAATCAAAAATATGGAAATGATTATTTACATTAAAATAATAGGCTATAGGTAAACCTATTAGACTTGAGCTTTTGCAGTATTGCTGTCTTAACAACCCCTCGCAAACTTGAGGGTGGGTGTTTTACGAGCCCAAATTTGTTTCGTAGACCTAGGAACCGTGAGTGAGATAATGCTTTAGTGAATAGGTTAGCAACTTGCTTAGACGATGGCACATATTGAACCGACATCTAGCATGCTAGGACTCGATCTCGGACAAAGTGGACGTCCAGCTTGATGTGTTTTGTTCAAGCATGGAAAACAGGGTTCGAAGCAAGAGCAGAGGCACTTCGATTATCATACTAGGCTACAAGAACTTGAGAAAGCTTGAATTCAAGCTTAGAAAATAAAGATTGAAGCCAGGTGAACTTGGTAGCTACATTGGCCAAGGAGCAATACTTTGATTCAGTGCTTGACCGAGCCACAACCTTTTGTTTCTTCCCTGACCATGCAATGAAAGACTCATCGAGGAAGATGCAGTGACCTCTGATCAATCTCCGATCATCAGTGTATGCGGCCTAATCGGAGTCAGAGAATCCTTGCAAGGTAAAATCTGAACTTGGCTTGAAATGTAATGTTAGATCCACTGTATCCTTTAGATATCTTAGTACTTGTTTAATTGCCTGCCAGTGTTGATCGGTAGGAGAATGACAGAATTGACTAAGTTTGTTCACAACAAACAAAATGTTAGGTCTTGTATTTACAAGATACTGAAGAGCCCCCACAAAACTCGATACGTAGATGGATTTTTGAGAGGAGTACCATCATAAGTTGATAGTGTTTTGTTGATTACCATTAGCGTAGGAACAAGGAAGCAATTGGTCATTCCAAATTTTCTGAGCAAATCAGTTATATATTTCCCTTGCTTAAGATAGATCCCTATTGAGTCTCGGTGTGCTTCAATACCTAAGAAGTGATGCAGATTCCCTAGGTCTTTTAAAGGAAAAAGTGAGTTTAATTGCCTTATAAACTCAATTAACATAGCCAAGGAATTTCCAATAATAATGATGTCATCCACATAGATAAGAACAAACATTATCTTGTTCTTCAATTTGAGGAAGAACAGAGAACTATCGCGTTTGGAATGTTGGAAATTCCAGCCAAGAAGAGTAGACTTTAATTTGTTAAACTAAGCCTTAGGTGCTTATTTCAAACAATAAATGGCTTTATTAAGTAAACAAACATATTTTGGGTACCTTTTGTCCATAAAACCTTCTGGTTGTTTCATATACACTCTTTCTTGCAAATAACCATTATGAAATGCATTATTTATGTCAATTTGTCAAACTGGCCATTGAAAGGAAACAACTAAGGTTAGAATAAACCTCAATGTGGCAAGCTTAAGCATAGGACTAAAAGTTTCTTCGTAATCAATTCCTGCATACTATTGAAAACTTTTTTCCATAAGTCGAGCTTTTGATTTTGACAATGAACTATTAGCATTGTATTTCGCCTTAAGCACCCATTTACAGTCCACTAGTGTTTTATTATGTGTATATGGAACTAGTACCTAAGTTTTGTTTCAAACAAGAGCATTAAATTCTTCTATCATAGCTTTACACCATAAAGAGGACTTTAGGGCTTTTTGAATACTATGTGATTCAGTTATGTCATGTGCACCAGAACTAATTAAGCCAACAAATGGTATTATTAGTTTAAATACGCTAGCTTTTCTCCTAGTTATCATTGAGTATTTGTTCTGATTACTCACTTGATTTTTTAGTTCAATTGGTCTGTCTAAGTGAATATGAGCAGGAATATGATCGTTCTCATCTACAATCTCCTCTATAATTTGCACAGGTATAGTAGAGGATGGAGATGAATTAAGTAATGATACGATAGCTGGACTCTCAGGAGAATTTAGAAGAGGAGCAGGACCACCTGAATCTTTTGCTGCAGTAAGTGATTGATCAGTGGAAGAAGGACATGAAGTAGGCAAAGCTGATAAAAAAGGTTTAAAGAAAACCTTTGGATTAACTTCAACTTTATTAGGTAATTTTTTTTATTAATGAAACTAGTAGAAAAAGGAAATTCATTCTCATTGAATTCCACATGCTGAGAAATGTAGATCTTGCCTATAGAACTTAGACACTTACACCTTTTGTGTGAATTGCTATAACGAAGAAAAACACACTTGGTGGATCTAAATTGTAACTTGTGTGTATTATAAGGCCGTAGACAAGGATAACAGGTTGAACTAAATATCTTTAATGTTGAATAATTAGGGTATTTCACAAAAAGTTTCATATAAGGTGAGACGCCACCCAAGACACTACTAGGCAATTTGTTGATCAGATCTGTAGAAGTGTAGAAAGACTCCCACCAGTAATATAGAGGCATCCACTACTATAGAATTATTTAAATAAGATGCCTCATACTTGATGGTTATTAAAAATAATTAACAAATAAAATAGGTAGAGAATACTTGACAATTATTTCAAAACAACTGTCAAGTAAATGAACATATATCTAATGGTTATAAGTAAATAACTGTCAAATATATCACGTAAGTATATTTGATGCTTTTTCAAAGGTAACCGTCAAATATAAGCTTGTTATACTTAACAGTTTTCTGTAACCAAGCATCAATTATATTATTTAAAAAAGAATATTTAAAAAAATATATTTGACGCATGTTATGAAAAAATCATCAAGTATGTCTAGCATATATTTGACGGTTATGTCTTAATAAATGGTTATGTCTTAATAGGCATCAAACATAAAATACTTAACGGTTATTTTATAATAACCATCAAGTATTATGTTTTAAAATCATATTTCAGAACTAAATTGTTCTTTCTCTGCTTGCACTTAAACCTCTTGAAACCTCTCCAGATAGTTTCAAAAACATATTTTCGGCCATCAAACCAAAATTTTACCTTGTTTTGATGCTAGCTTTGGGGTATTTGCTTGTTGTAAAGCTCATTTTGGTCTTCATCTTCCCTCTCGTAGCCTCCCATGTTCGTTTTCAGTGTGCTCTCATTCCTTGAGGTTGGTTCTTTGATTTTTTCATCATTAATCCTTCTTTTGAGTTCATAGATTATAGATTTTGGTTTATTGATGGAAAATGGTTATTTGAAATTTGATTTTTGTTGACTTGTGGCTGTTCTTTATTATGGGTATTATTCTTGATTTTTTGGTTAACTAATTTTGGGTGTTTTAGGTTTTGATTTTATGAGTTAAAAAATTTTCCTATTAAATTTTTAGTTAATTTGAATATTTTTATTGTTAATTGTTGAATACATTGTCTTCTCTTGTGTTTGTTATTGCTATGTGGACTGAGTATTGTGCTGTTGATGTTATGTAATCTTGAATGTAGTTGTAAATTTATTATTTACCTTATGTGTTGACTAGAGTAGAATATTTAGGACTAAAATTTAGAATGAAGAGAGAGTATAAGACCTAAAAAATGTCCAATTTTAAACTGTTATGTTGTTGAAATTTTTTTAATATGTAAGACTTGTTTGAGTTGTTTTGTGATTTTTGCTGCTGTTGTTGTATGTGTTGTTTTAGATTAATCAAGAAGGCATAAAGCCTACAAAACTCTCATAGTTACTAGTATTAAAAATTAGCTAGTTACTAGTTTTAAATAAGATTAAAGAAGGAATGTGCAAATATATAGTTAATGACTCATTGACTAATTGATACTTTGTATCTAACTCTCCAAATATGTAAGAGTAGTCAAAGTCATTAATCACATTCCTCTTAATCTTTTTAGAAATTATGGATAAGAAATGGACGTCTGGTAATCATCTATCTAAGGAATATTGGGATGGGATAGCAGATTTCATTAAGTTTGCAGTTAAGCATGCAGACAACTCTGCTAGGATTGTTTGCCTGTGTTTAAAGTGCGGCCTTGTGAAGTGGGTTAGTTTAGATACTTGTAAAGAACACTTAGTAATTAATGGGATGGATCAAAGTTACAAGTGTTGAACAATGCATAATGAGACAATGAATGATATTGGTTATAGCTAGGAGCATACTGAAAGCTATGCATCATCTCTTGATGATTTTGACACATGTACACTTGAGGAAGATTTTCTTGAACAAATGGCTAAAGCAATTGAAAAGGGCAAAGCTAATGGTCAAAGTAGACAGGTCATTGCTTACACTGCATACCTTGTCAATAGGCATACAGTTTATACAAGGGAGCAAGATGATAGGAGTACAATATAAAATAGTGCTGTAACTCTTGTAGCTCATTCCATGTATATTTCTAGTACTAAATATAAAAATCCTATCTATGCAAACATGTCATACTTTAATGTAATTGAGCACATATGAGATTTAGATTACATATCCTTTCGAGTTTTTATCTTTAGGTGCAAGTAGATTGATCATAAAAATAGCTTGAAATTTGATGATTAATTTGGATTTGCACGAGTTTGAGTAAGGAAGGGTATAAAGATGAGACTTTCGTTTTGACGCATAAGCTAAACAAGTTTTTTATATTCCCGACCCTGCTAATAAGGGATGGTCTATTTTTCTGTTAAATGAAAAAGTAAATGGAGATGAAGCAGTTGAAGATGACCCATTTGAAGAGACATCAAATCAAAGTAATGTCACTGTAGATGATGCTTTATATGTGAAAAATGATCATAGTGAAGGCATTTGAATTTCAAAAAAGGGTAAATTATTATAATATAAGAAGAAAATATTTCAATGAGGGGGAAGTAAAAACAAGAGTCAAGGAAATGAAAAAGAGCTACTTGAACATGTAGAGTTTGAATTAATTGTGTGAATTTTGTTTAAGTTGATTAATGTTTGATTTAATTGTGTTTCTTTACAGATAAATAGCTTCTGATAGTGAGTCTATTGATACCCCTCCATCAATTTCAGCTACAAATTCAACTAAGGTTTTTGAGTACACAGAAAAATATGGAGCAGGAGTATAATAACATCAAGCAGGGCCTAACGATAATGTAAGTGGTGACAAAAACAAGAGCTGCAGGAAAAAAAATTGATGTGTAATGAAACAAAAAAGGGCAAGCAATCAAATCTTCAAAATTTATAAGTTATATTGGGGTGGTAGCAAAGACTATTGTGCCTATCACAGTAAAATCATGGCACAAAGTGGATGAGGCCACGAAGAATCTTGTTTGGGATACCGTAGTAGTAAGTTACATTTTACTAAGTATATTTTAGTATAAACTATTTTTAAAATTGATGCATCTGATATGTTGTTTATTTTATTTTACAGTCAGGATTTGAAATTGATGAGAGTAAAAGGATTTTGTCCTACAAAAGGCTAGGAGGGCACTACTGTCTTTTAGATGTTTCATCACACAGATTGGGATGCTAAATTTATAGCTCAAGTTTCTCCCTTATTACAACCTTTAGTAAAATAAGAGGATTGGGATGCTTTTGTTGCCTCACGGCGTGAAAAGTAATTCAAGGTATTGGTGTTTCCTAAATTGCAAGTTTGGTGTTATTTATTGATTGTATGTTCATGTACTAATAAAATTTTTTATTATTAATTTGTCAAGGAACTGAGTGCTTAGAATAAAGAGAGAATAGTGAAGAACGAATATCCTTATAAAGCAGGGAGGTTGGGGTATATAGGCATTGAATAAAAACAAGCAGAGAAGAAGGGATCAGAGGTTACCATATCTTGCCATAAGCTCTGGGTATTAGCACACGCTAATAAAAAAGGAATTATTGACAACCCTCACGTGAAGGAGGTTACTAAAAAAATTATAAGTATTATACTTATCTGTCATTTAATAATTGATTATGAACATCCAAACTAATCATATTTACTTTACACAAGATTCCATCTCTTAGGAAGTCTCACAAGGCAATCTTCCTGAGCATGAGGATATCTTGGCTAGGGCATTAGGGACTGTTGACCACCCTGGTCATGTCACGGGTGTTGACTTCGATATCATGAAGAAGCAATATTTTAGCAAGATATAGAAGCGAACATCAACTTCTTTGTCTGAGGTCCAAGAGCTGAGAGAAAAGCAAGCCATTATGAAGCAGCAACTACTAGCCCAGGCAACATTATTTGACATGTTGCTGAAAAGGCAAGTCCCTGGGAGGACTTTGTGTAAGATTAGCCCTAGCCAGAAAGATAGCCACACAATCCCTTCAAAAAAAACCACACGAGGTAATATGTTTTATCTTATGAATGTCTCACTATTTTTATTTTAAAAATTGACTATCATTGTTTGTTTAGGGTGAGAACGACTACAATTGTTTGGCAGACACTCTTGAACGTAAAGTGGTTGTAATTGATGTGTGTACAACTGTGTAAGAGTTTTTCTACTTGTTGCAATTGACCTCAAGTACCCATTGCCTGTTCCTACCGATAAGGCACACATGGTGGCAGATGCAGTAGGGAGCTTCATTACATGGCCTAGCCATCTTGTAATGATGATAACACCAAAGTTGGCAAAGGACCTATTGCCTCCAAAAAATGTATGATTTAAATAGTTATTTATAATTTTATAATATAATTATAAATATCTAACTTTTTTGTTATGTAGCTGAGAGGGAAGAGAAACTTAAAAGTAAGTCGGGCTATATCATAGAGTTAGCCATAGTTTCGTAGTATCTAGCAGCACCGGCGCCAGTTATAGAATACGAATACCATGTCTCTCTTAAGACTTATGCAATAGCCATAAGGATGGCTCATAAAGTGGAAATTGAGGATGTCATTAGTTTGATGATAGGTATATGAAAAACTGGACTTATTTAAAGTTATTCAGGATGAAATTTTAAATTAAATCCTCAAGCACAAAATAACCAGCACTAGTCTAATGAGCTTCTACATGAAGTATTTCTTCGGTAGTGCTCAATTAATTATTTAAATTATATGTGTGTGTATACACATGTGCATATATTAGCCTGGTTATTTTTCACCCAAGGCACCTTTATACCTCATTTATGGTTGCTAGTGGCCTCGAGTTGAGATTTAAGTTAATTAATCCCATAATGTCTCTGCCTATAATAAAATTACAAAGGAATCTCTTGAAGATCAAGTAAGATAGCTTTTCAGATCAATTCAAGGATAGGGAGCAGACAATGATATTTTATTTCTCACTCCTTACTGCTAGGGGTGAGCCACTTTCTAGCTAATTTTGGTACAAGAAAATATTTTTTATATTTACTTATTTAATAACACTTGTATTTCTTATTAGGAGGTACTGGATGCTTATTGTGATTAACCATATTACTCCATAAATTTGGTATCTTAATCTTCTTAATGGAAAATCAAGCAACAAGGTAGATATGGTAGAAATTTTTAATAGGTGAGTTGAATTTTTATCAATTTTATTTAATATACACACATATAGAATTTCTAACATTTATTCTTTACTTCTCTCTTATAGCTATGGTATTGCAACCAACAAGACCTTGTCTCCAGCTTAAGGACATTGGACTTTTGTGAGAAATGGCTCACAGTTAAGATAACCTAATGGGCTAAGTTTTAATCAACAAATTGTAGCCTTTTAACTATTATTTCATTTATATGTGATTTTTTTTCAGTGTCCACTTTAGCCAGATCAGAGTGATGACTGTGGCTATTACTTAATGAAATTCTTGAAGGACATTATCACCCATGCCCCTACCACATTACCTAACAGGTATATATTAAATTTAATTACACTTAAATTATAAATTTTAACCAATTTTTGTTAAATGGCTATTAACTTGAATTTGTTATAACTCTTTGCATACAGTACTTCAAGGATCCCTATTGTGTTCGATATGTAGCTGCACATATAGAAGAAGTCCTTAAAGAGGTAGATCAAGCCGCATTCAACATGTGAAATAGCGATAGTGGTTAGGCCCAATAATTAGTTTTGATATACACACCTATTTTTTTTTGTCCAATTTTACGTCTTAAGCCATTTAGTTTTGAAATTTTAGCTTGCAAATTAGGTAAAATTATAGATTTTTTATGACTTTAGGTTTAGGATATAGGAAGATATAGAGATTAAAAACATTTGGATGTTAATTTTAATATAAATAATAATTCATTTGTTTTTTTATTGTCGGCTGGATGTATATATATTTAATTGCTTTGTATTTCGAGAGCTCTTTTCAAACTTTTTTTAAAAACATACAGTAAATACTTGATGGTTATTTCAAAACAACGTCAAGTATATGTTTACTTGATATTTGTTTCGAAATAACCGTCAAGTATTTTGGCAAATCAATGAATAGATTTTACCAAAAATATTTGACAATTTTTTTAATAACCATCAAGTATTTACTATAATAACCATCAAGTATAGTCTTGTAATAAAGCCTGAATGTAAATGTTTAAAATTTACTTGACAGTTATCTTGAATAAACATTAAGTAATATCTTGAATATTTGATGGTTTTTAATGGTCAAGTAACATATGACACCCCATTACTTGACGGTTAAAAATCTTTAAATATTAACTAAAATAACTATCAAGTAAGGGGGTATTCTGTGATAGTGATCTTAACTTGTGGTAAAAGAGTAAGACCAGTCTCTACTATTTATCTGTGCTTCCTCTCAGCTTGCCCATTTTGTTAAGAAGTGTGATGACAAGAGTGTCTAAAATGGATTCCTGAATCTTGAAGAAGCTTAGAAAAATTGTGATATTTACAACCCTAATCACTCTATACAGCCTTGATTTTCTTGTCAAATTGCTTTTCAGTAAAGTTCTCAAATTGAACAAATGTGGATAGAGCTTCATCTTTTGTTTTCAAAGGAAAAATCTAAGAAAATTTAGTGTAATCATCAAGAAAACAATACAATATAGTGAAAACCATTAATAGAAGGCATAAGAGAGGGCCCCTATAAATCTGTGCAAACTAATTGTAGAGTTTAAGATGCACGAGAAAGAGAAGCTTTAAATGGTAAGGAATGGAGACTTGCAAGATTCACAAAACATAGGTTCCTCTTTTCTATTAACTTGAAAATTACATTCACTAATAATCTAGTTCAAATTGTATCATTAGGATGCCCGAACCTATCATGCCAAGGCATCTTAAGATTGGTACAACTTGCACTACTAGTATTATTCTTATTAATTATGACTTCTTCTCCATCAATAGCAAATAACACTGTTGTGTTTAGCCAAAATTGTTTCTCTTCTTCTTGACTTTATGGACATTAACCTTGTAAAGCCCACTATTACTTATCTCTGCCCCTGTAACAGAGTGGTTCCCATGCCCTGATTTGTAATAGTAGCAACATCCGAGTTTATTAAAACTAAGGCATTATTGTCATCAAATAGTTTAGGAATGCTCAATAATTTTTTTTCTTAGCTTTTGAAGCATAATAAACATCATTCAGCTAAACTAAGTGATTAGAAACATTAGACACTTAAGATGAACCAATTCTTTCAACATGTAAATTTTACCTATTAGCAACATTTAGATGTGCCTTGCCATTATTTAGAGTTGATTGATCAAGTCGAGATTCATCATTGGTAACATGACAAGTGGCACCACTGTATAAATACCAAGAGTCATTAGTTACTATTTTTAGTGTAGCATAAAGAATTTCGTCAAGACCAGAAGAACCAAAATCAAATGTTTTACAAAAAATGTAGTGGATTAAAACTTCGGTCAAAATGATGAAAATAATTCTTGACTGTGTGTCATGGTTGGTCATAAAGCTGACAGGTACTCAAGAACCTTTACCAGAACAACCATGGCACTAATAGCCTCTTCCACCACGTGAGCCTCTCTAACCAGCACGAGTATAGTTAGCAAATTGGGTGGAAATGTTCAGATGGGTAAACTGATTTAGTTGCTTAAGCTGACTTTCAAAGTAAGAAAAAGCTTGAAATTCAACCTAACTGATTTCTTCTTTGGCAGATAATTGAACAACAATAAGGTTATAGTCACCATTAAGACTAGCTAAAACTTGCAAGAACAAGTTAGATTATGGTATAAGATTTCTAGCTAAGGCAAGACTCTTAGAAAT